CTGAGGATAAGGTTATATATGTAGCGTCCTGGCCATCATATCACTCCCTTTGATTGTGTAAATATCAGAGATTATCACGTACCGTATTGATCCAGGTGAGATCAGACTAGACAGAGGAACATAAGACCTAGCATCAGCCACTTATCACAATGCCGATCTCTGAAGAAAGTAATGAACGTTGATGAAGTACAACAGAAATGAAGATGAATAATAACGTGTGTGCTGTAGTTTCAAAAGTGAAAAATACGAATATTGATTACATAGCGAAAATATGGATACCTTCAGTCGATTGAAATCAGAGGGACTAATACGTGGAATTGTCAAACATTGAGTAAATCATTATTATCTTCTTGTTACACTGGTATTGTGGAAGATTGCTGAATACATAGTGTTAAGTGATAGCCGAACCTTAGACATGATGCTGTCTGAGTGACCATACTGCCCACTGCTTGAACATAGGGTATATGCCAAAATAGGGTCTAAACTACACCGTAATAAAAACGACAAAGCCTATCCATGTTCTTAGGGAATGTCTGCTAAAATGAGTGAGTGAGTGAGAATGATTTTACGCCGCTTTTAGCAATATTCCAGCAATATCACGGCGGGGGACACCAGAAATGGGCTTCACACATTGTACCCATGTCAGGAATCGAACCAGGGTCTTCGGCGTGACGAGCGAACGCTTAAACCACCAGGCTACCCGACCGCTAAAAGCAGAGTTGGCTGTGTGATTCTGGTTGTATCACGAGCACCTGCTTTTTATCTAAAAGTGATAATACTTGTTGTTCGCAAAACGGTGAGCGTATCCGGTAGCACCAGTCACAATTTAAACACATGCAAGGTCATGTCAATTGTCCAACTGAAACACATGGAAACATACGATGCAAGTCAAAATAGTGAATTGCATCGGACACAATTTTTGTCACAGATGCATACAATTTGGAAATGTCCTCCTCATGTCTTCCATAAAATTTTGCGAATTCTGTTCTGAGGCCTTGAATGTTATGTTCGTGATCAATCACTTTTCAGCAAGAGTCGTATGGCGTTTTTTTAAAAAAATCTTATAAGAAAGAGCATGCTTGTACCCCAAAACATGAGAAATATAGACATCAAGATGCTGGAATATTGCTCGGAAAGGTTTACTTTTGGACATATAAAGTCATCCCTCTTGTCCTTCAGTATTGTGGAGAGTTTATTGTCATTCTGAATCTTTAGATCATTATTGGTGGAGGCATTTGTCATCAGGGGAGTTTATATATATATATATATATATATATATATATATATTTCTTCTTATTATAAGCAATGTCCGAGTTCCAATGTGGATGTCTTTTTGTGGTGAGGTGAATTGGGGTAAACGTCGCGTCCATAATTGTGTGTGTGTGTGTGTGTGTGTGTGTGTGTGTGTGTGTGTGTGTGTGTGTGTGTGTGTGTGTGTGTGTGTGTGTGTGTGTGTGTGTGTGTGTGTGTGTGGCTGCTTGTACTAGTCCGGACTTTTGACGATTGATAGTGCTAGTCCACTGAGATACCATGTCGCATTTTAACATGAATACCCCTAATAGACACAGTGTACTGACAGTCCTTGTTTAAGACCTTTGTTGCCGAGCGCAAGACAGGGTAACAACAAGTTGCTTTCAACGTCTTTTAGTATGACGCGGCCGGGGATCAAACCCTGCACCCTCCGCTCTCCGGGCGGACGCTCAACCAGTAGACCACGGAAAAGTCTAAACAGTCATTACAAACCCTTTGATTTGAAAACACATGTCAATTGCATAATCTGAAAGATATTTGTTCAGGGGCACATCTCGTTTTCATACAGCGGCGAGACACACATGGCGTCACTCTGCAAATCCGTTCTAAACGAGGAATAACGTCACAGCCTACTATGACAGCCAAAACGACAGCAGTATGCAGTCAAGAATATGTATGAAATTGAATAAAAAGGGAATATGCATATAACTCTAACATAATTTTACAAATGTTTGATTCAGAAATAAAATGTTAATATATATATCAAGGAAAATGTCAAAAAGTGGTAAAAGGTGAGTGAGTAGGTATCGTTTTGGCTTTTAGCAATATTCCAGCAATATCACGGCGGGATACGCCAGAAATGGGCTTCACACATTGTACCCATGTCAGGAATCGAACCCGGGTCTTCGGCGTGACGAGCGAACGCTTTACCCACTGGGCCGCCCCAAGTAAAAGGTGAAGGATTTATCCTAGCATCGAATACGTTGTAGCAAAAATTTAGAACCTAAAACAATGTGGCACCAAAGAGTACACATTTCATATATGTTTTTTTATCTGTGATGTCTAGCATTTGCTTTATGAGGTTGTATGTACATACTACATGGTTTAACTGAAACCAACTAAATGTATAAGAATATACCTACGTCATATCCATACGCACTTTGGTCTAGCGCCATGTCCCCAACAAGCAAAAACAGATCTGTCCGCTACATATTATATACTTCAATGCCATGCAGATATTCAGCTTCATTCTGTACGTGCAGTATTTGCTCAGTAGACTTGACAAGCATAGGGCAAACCATCCACTGATGACTTTATTGACAGATAGAACTTTTTAAAAACGTTACAATGTTCCCGAACCGTAAGCATCTTCAAGAACCTCCCCGAAGCCAATAAGGAAGTCATTAGTTTGGGGAATGGCTACCACTCGTGTACCGCGTTACGAACCAAATTCCTTCCACTACTTAACAGTAGGGCTTTAATGAGACTTTCTGCTGTTACCGCCACCCAGAAGAGATCTTGAGTGACTCCCTAACATGCTTTGTCCTCAGTGTTCTGTAAATGATGTTATGTTGCTGATGAAACAGGCCTGCGTTATAGGATGGTTGATGATAATGGACATGCTTACTGGCACGTCCTGCAAGGCTGTTTGGTACTGGAATAGCACTTTATCGTTTAAGGAGACTTACAAAGTGCAATGGAAACATGTCCAGTTCACTCCCAAACAAATTATACTTAATTCGTGCCACGTTTTATTTGGAAGGGCGAATATTAAGGGCAACAAATAATGGATAAAATGGTTTCATGCCAAACTGAACATACTTACACTTTCAGCGAATACCTGGTGTCATCACTGATTTAGAGTGATCGATTCACATAATTCTCACCGTTTTGTCTTTTAAGCCCATTTGGAATATGTTCAGTTGGAAAATCAAGATAATTTCCTCCAGCTCCGACGTTATATATTATATGTTGGACTATGCTGGTCTATGCTGAAATTGTCTTTCACAGTGACCACAACACACGACTCTTCAAGATACTCCTGGGACATGTAATTTCGCTTATGAACATTGAGTGTCTGAGTATGGCTATACCTCCTGTTACATTCTTCCAGCTATATCACTCACGGTGGAGGGGGCACGGCTAGCCCGGCAACCCCGGCTAGCCCGGCTAGCCTCACTCACTCATTACTCACTTCAAAACTGTTAATTTCGTTTCTGCAGGGAGACAACATTATTATTCTTCTTCTTCTTGTTGTTGTTGTTGTTGTTGTTGTTGTTGTTGTTGTTGTTGTTATTATTATTATTATTATTATTATTATTATTTACAGATTAAAATAAACAATGCAGCAAAGAGGGTTTGGGTGATCCTTGCAGTCAGGCTGGTTAGGCTCATCATCAGCTCAGGGCCTTTGCCCCCTCTACACGCAGCCCCAGACAGCGAATGGGACTTCTCCCAGGAAGCGCTGCCTAGTCAAACCCACCCAGAACCTTTCGGAGAATGTGAGGGATCCCCAAAACTGCAGCCTTCTGCATTACCCGGATTGTCAGAAGGGCTGTATTCCTGGTAGCAAACCTGGATACTCTCCCGATGTCAGTCAACAGACTGGGAGGTACCAAACCTAAGGCATCGAGAACAATCGGGAGTCGGACAAATTTGAACTTGGGATGCAAGCGTGACATTTCGAAAGCGAGGCCCGCGGCTGTGTATGTCTGAGGCTGTATACGGGCCTATTCCAAAGAATTTTGTATTTTTCATTTTCCATGACGCCCTCTTTATATTCTTGGTCGTACCATGGATGGACCTCTGTGTCAAAACCACAAACATTGCGAAGAGGGTAATAAAAGGACCGAGCCATTCCATCATGTCGCTTAAGATACTGTGTTTTTACCAAAGCGGGGCATCCACTGACAATGTTTTGGACAGTCTCATTGCATAATCTACATTTCACATTTACATTTTCATGCAAAATCGCACATTGACGGTTTCGAGTGGGAAGTGACTGGCCCTGAGCAGCAAACAGAAAACCTTCTGTTTCACTTTCCAGGCAAGCCGACTTCATCCAAACGAAGGACTCCTCAGGGTTTATGATCCTCTTTACACACTGCACATAAACTCGAATCAGTGGTCGTTCAGATAGCCTCTCCTTGAAAAACTGAGTCTTGGCCGATTTGATATGGCACTTCACTTGGTTGACATTCATTTCTGTACCGTCCAGCAGTACAGAACCATCAACATAATCAACACTGACATTGCCATTATGTCCCACACCCTTGGCTCGTTTAAGTAAACTGTGGAATGCCTTGTTTTCATCATGTGTCTTGACATGCTTCACAAGAGGATCATCAGACAAATAAATGTATTCGTATTATTATTGAAACTCATTAACCAAGTTGAATCCATAAAATAATAGAATCATCGCCACCTTCTACGTTTAACTCTTTGTTTTGCTCTTTGTTTTTTGGGCATCAACGTGAAAGGATCGTGCAGGAAAATTGAGCTGTTCAAGCACAAACACATACGTTGCCTTGTTATGCTTTACTTTGCGTTGCGTTGCGTTTCGCTGCCTAGCGCAGCGTTGAAATTGATCTTACTAAACCAGAATTATCAAAATTGATTGAAGTTGTTTGAGTAAACTGTTTTGGGCTTTTTCATATTGTAGCATCTAGGCATGACTTAATGTATTGTATTAATATATTTTCTGTCAGTCGAGGAATCCATTATTAAAGTTCATCTTCTTATCTTTGCAGGAGGTTACTGTCGTCGTGTCGGTGTTGACATTGACCGCCATCTCCATCGAACGCTGGTTCGCAATCTGTCACCCCTTAACCTTCAAGGAGACGAGGAAGAGAGTGATTGTATCCATCATTGTGATTTGGGTGGGGGCGCACGTGATGTCCATCCCGAGACTCCTCATCTTCCGAGAAAACCGAGACCCTATGATACCCAGCAATTTAACCATCCTTTTAACGTCATGTGGTCCCGATTACGACATGGATGTCCTGGCCTTGAACTATGACCTCTTTGCTTTCGTGACCTTTTACATTGTGCCTATTGTGGTAATGGGCTACACGTACACCGCAATAGCCGTGTGTCTGTGGTCCAGTATCAAGACTGGACAATACCTTACCGGTAAGTATATATATTATATGTCATACTATTGGGAGTCTGGAAATCATATATAAAAGTTCAAGGCCAACTGGTCTTCGGTCAAGGTCAGGGTCACCGAATCGACACTGTCAAAACATATGCTTGTAACAATAATTTGACACGGGTTAAAAACTCTGGGAACTTCGTAATCAGTTATTGACCTTCCAGTTTGTTTGTTAACCTGTCAGTTTTTGCTAACATAGATCTGTTTACTTCTTTCCCTGTTACCTATGCAAGCATGTGATCACCTATTTGTTGGCCTATCATTACAGTATATTATCTCCCCAAAAACAGTGATGGCTTTGTTATTATATTCCACTTCCGCAGAACACCTCATCAGTAGAAGCAATTTAGTAAAGACAATTTGGCGTATCTGCTTCGTTTTCATATTAGATAAGTGATCCTACCTAATTCTTAAATGAAGTTATTACCATCATATCACATTCAGTGTATTCTAGTCTTCGAATTAAAATGACGTTTAAGTTACATTACTTTGCTGGACAGAGATATATAGTGAGCGGGTTGAGTAATTTTGGTTTTATGCCACTTTAAGCAGTATTTCAGTATTTTCATCACGGCGTGTCAGGTTGGTGTGCGAGTAAAGATTGGGGTGAATCCGGATCGTATACGTTTTACTACATTTATGACATATAAAGATATGATGTCGATAATCAACATCATGATCATAATCAAGGCGAATCTGGATACAGATCGATGACTCTGCATCCTTGTACACCCAAGGCACGCAACTCTGCACAGCCAAACACTCCAAACAGGACTATCAAGCATACATGTTTACAGTAGATGTTTATGCTGCTCGACAAGCCTGACTTTCTTTTTTAAGTGTGGTATCGATAACAATGAAGATGATTGCCAGGAGGCGAGTCAGACAGCAGGTTTGTAACCACTGACTAATATTTTGGGCTGGGATATGTGTTACAGATTGCTAAGAGGAAGTAACACGGCACAATCGATGTAATACGTGTATGTTTTCTACAACTTTGGTAGTTTTATCATTAAACAGTCTCTGCCTTCCAGCAAGGAAGCCAGACAGATTGTATACCTAAGTGCGAAATTGCCGAACTGACAAACGTGCAATACGGTGACGGGACTGCTGATTCCAGCGTCAGATGACACAGCTGGAATATCATTATATCCGATGTCAGGTGCATGCTTTACATGGGGAGTTTGTGTTGGTGATTAGAGTCCTAAATTGTGCGTGTCTGCTGAAGCAAGATTGGTTTTCCTTCCTCCCCGAAATAACTCCTTCAAAATTGCCTTCGGAAGCGGTCGATGATTCGTCCAATGCCCGGTAGATGGGGTTAAAGCATGTCTAAGATTTCAACATGAAATGATGCCAGTCTTTATGAGCCATCTGAGCACGAAGGTGATACGTCCTGCCAATGTCAAACCTCAGACAATTTTACGATTGACGTAATTACTCTGTTTGTGAAGCGCGATCACTGTTCGAAATTCAATATTTAATGTAATGGTCAGACGGAGTGCGATATAACTGCTGAATCTATGCTGTCAGCATGCACTTGCATTTGAGTGCAGCACAGACTTTTAAAGCTATCAGCGTACAATTATCAAGTAGGCCAGATTTGCAAGTAAATAGTAAAAATGTTTATGTTAGTTGTTATTGTGATATTATTACTGACGATTTAACAAAGATATCAAATGGCAATTGAACAACTCATGTAAAATTCATTTTGCAAATTTATATAGAAGAAACGGAAGAACCCGAATTTAAAACCCATTAAGACTTGACAGAGGTGAACGGGAGAGCAATTTACAATAATATTCTGTAGGGGTTTCTGAAACATTAATATTTATTATGGGATCTTCTTTGATGGGGAGTGGGAGAGGGTTTGATGTTTGTCGATCTTAGTTTCGACAAGCAGGCAGAACAGTATCACAGCCAGTGTTTTTCATAGATTTATGCAATGCTTTTGATAATGATGTGGAAATCCTGAAACTGCTTCCCAACGTCCACTAAATGTATAGCGGCTTTGCAGAGTTGTCTCCCTTGTTAGAGCCAGGATCTGTTATTCGTTAATTCGAATTTCATATTTGCACTTATTGTCGTGCTACGTTCGTCAGAATCAGTGCTCTTGGGTTTTAACTACGTGTCCCTCAGATATTTAGTTCACACGACGTGAACTATTGTCTAGATTGAGGTTTAACCAAAACCACTAACTCGATACTCGGAATAGAAAACGTCCTAAAAATATATTATACACGATTAATCCTGAGACATTTTACGTCCAAACATGCTTTCTGTCTGATGTACCTGTTTGATTCATTTCGACTAATAAGCTTCATAATGTTCCATAGCTTTCAAGAGGTCCATAATGATAAGGGGGCACGGGTGGCCCAGTCGTCTAAGGCGTCGCGATTCGCTGTGCAGAGTTGCGTCCCTTGGGCACGCCAGAAATCTATGATTGTGGGTTCGAATCCCGGTTCGCCCCGATTATGTTTCTAGGGTTTGTCAGCACCATACCCGTGCTCGTGGATTTCACCGAAGTGGTAAACGTCTGAGACCTGCATCACTTCGGGCTTTCCTCCCACATTAAGCTGACACGCCGCGATATAACTTGAATACTGTTAAAAGCGGCGCTAAACCAAACTCACTCACTCACTCATACGTGATAAAAGCTACAGTATACGTCCTTTCTCATGACTTCAGTGTTTTGCTGTATCTATTTTAACAGAAGCTACACATACTTTGTGTGTCTTCTGAGATGTTTTTTCAGCATGAAGTTCAGGCACTCCTAAATATAATATGCCATACACACATAATATGCCATATTGTCATCGCTTGGTGGATAGAGTATCTGCCCGGAGACCGGAACGTCAGTGGTTACACACGCACGCACGCACGCACGCACGCACGCACGCACGCACGCATGCACTTTGTATGAGTGCAATAATCGCTTCGTTAACCCCATTTGATCTCACCTCACTCTAATCGTATATCCTCTGTTGTCTTGGTTTCCAGAGGGCGACCAGAGTGCCGTGACGTTGCAAGTCCAATCACGCCGTCGCACAGCAAGGATGCTAATTGTAGTTGTCGTCGTCTTCATCCTGTGCTATCTGCCTTACTACTCCTGGAACCTGATGAGGTGGGTAGAAACGTCGTAAACTCGAAGTCATCGGGACCGTTGAGATTTTCGTACTTCGAGACAAACGTATCAATGATATAGAATCTTATTGAAGGACCATAACAGAGCACCGTCTTACGCTAATGCAGCCATTGGGAACACGCGTTTACTTAAACCAAAATCTTAAACCGTCCCTTAGATGTACATTTGATTAGGTCATTGTTATCAGCGTTGTAAAATTATTTGAAAACTGTAAAAGTGTTCTATCCATCTTATCAATGTTAAGTATAGTTTTACCCGAGTAAGTATTTCACACAATGCTTCTGTTTAAGGTTAATCCGAAGTCCCTTGGTTAAAATGATAGATCGACACTCCGTCTCTATCCTCACATTAACAGCTCACTGGATGGTTTACCTCAACAGCTCTATCAACCCAGTCATTTACAACTTCATGAGCGGTACGTTTTATCAGGTGCAACATATAAGCTATGCATGTACTTAAACTGCCAGGCAAAAGAAAGCATAAAATTGGATTTGACCAAAACATTACAACCGCTGTATAAATGTTACTTGGCCGAAACAGTAGTCGTCGAGACATGCAAACTTCAGGTCCCAAATACAACTATGATACAGTTATCAAATATGTCACCATTTAATAACCATCTTTGTTTGTTTCTATCTTTATCACCATCAAACATGGGTGTACACTTTCGTTTGACCGGCAGTGTATGTAACCACATACCTCGTCAATATGTAACCACAAACCTCGTCAATAGGGACATTATTACAAGCATACCTATATTTCCATTGATGTTTGTTCTACTTGACAAATTTCTCCATTGCAATTGTTTTCAAACGTGTTTCACAATACTGTAAATGTACTGACAGGTTCTCTATCTCAATAACTCTGCAAAGCGACGAACTAGAAGTTGCCTTCTACTTTGAGAAATGCTATGGGCTTTGATAAATCATGATTTGTCTTAACGGTACGTGTTTTCTTGTGCTATATACATTTAATTGTGATTTTATTTCAGGTAAATTCAGAACAGAGTTTGCCAAAGTATGTTATTGTTTCTTTGGAAACTACACCGTGAAACGGAGACGGTGTTACGGAAACCGTATGTACCTTGTTTTTGTTTTTGAAAACGTGTTTCGTATGATCTGCATCAGAAACTCTTTCCTTGACTTACATGTGTATCATGATGTTTATCATGTGTGGTATGGTCCACTTATGTTAACCGTTAGCTACATGTACTATCACCCCATGAAGACATGGTCATCAGCTACCCATGCTTGTCGTAAGAGGCGACTAAAGATCGGATGGTCAGACTCTCTGACTTGGTTGATGTATGTAATCGTATCCCAATTGCGTAGATCGATGCTGATGGTGTCAATTACAGGATTGTCTGGTCCAGATTATTTACTAATATTTACTTCTACCCCTATAGACCATTCTGCCCCTATATTTTCAGAGCATTTCAAACCTAGAGAAAGCCGGTTTAATAAAGTGAGTGATTAAGTTGGGTTTAACGCCACTTGGTCTAGAATCGGTTTCCCCGACTATGTTTTGTCGCAATTCGATCGGGTGGAGAGGCCGGGTGACTTGGTTGATGACGTATTTTGGTACCCTGACATACTGCTTAATAATATTTGCCTGGCCCAGATTTGTTAATTTATAACCGTAAAATAACAGTAATTTCACTGAATGCTACGTAAAAGATATAATATAATAAGAAATAATAACATTTCAACTATTTTTACAGATGAAATGGAGCCGTTATCGACAACAAAAGGGTATGAATTCTTTACATTCATGCTGTTATCTCAGATCTCAGAAGGAGATATGCTCAGAGCATTCCAGAGTCATTATAAGCATTTATATTTAGTAACCATCATACCAGGATATCGTTAAAGCCTGCAGAGGCATTCTCCGTGCGAAATTAATATATCTAAACTTAACTCAAAATGTATGTTCGTACAGAAAGCATGTGTGCGCTAACCATCACTATCACTATCACTATCAGATGGTGATTCATAAACGCATTCTCATGATATAATTGGAATTACACAATGGACACTGGTTTTAAGTAGAGATTTCTTACAATTTCTGAAAAGGTCTGTCTGTCGCTTTTAGTGTCTGGTAGGAATCGATTTTCGTCTGTTAATACGCTATATAACCCTTTCTATCTTATTGTTCAGCAGAAATGGTTTCATGACAACAGAATCCCCTCTGAACAGAAGAGACACTCAACGGACTGACACAGCCATCGGGAAGGATCCCCACGGGAACGTCTAAATCCGAAGTAAATGCTCTATATCGTACAACCTTGACATACGAGATAGAGAGATTGTTATCATGCTGGGGCCTTTTTCAATCTCTGACCTTCTAGAACATTTTCGTGGCAAGCAACCCCATAATGAAGTGCCGTGAAGACCCTGCAGCAAAGTGTCTGATGCCACTAGTACAGAAGTATAGTCCTTGTGCTAATTCTTTCCGGGTTGACTCAGTGGACGTTGGAGTGGTACACCTTTAGCTTCTTGGACACGCGATCACTGCGCGACGTTGAAGCCTACAACTTCACACTGAGACTCACTGGTTTTAAGAATGCCAAGTCTGCTGAGGCTTTCACGTTATGAGCTATACAATCCAGTTTACACGACAACTCTCATAACTTCTCTAAAAATGCATATGGGACTTAGTTTAGGTGAATGCCCACTTTGCATTAAATGGGAGGATATTTCTTACTTCAGTCATAAGTTTCTCTTCCTTTGCGCAATTAAATTGCTCGGCGTATTCTAGAAACTGGACATAATAAGTGTTAGATCACAGAGAGTGGGTGAGCATGGTTTTACGGCGCTTCTAGCATTATACCAGCACTGTCACGGCCGGGAACACCAGGAATGGGCTTCACACAATGTACCCACATGAACATTTAACAACAATTACTAACATACTTGTATACAAGAGTTTGCTTTCTTCAAATATATATACTCAATGTATGTATGTCGTTGCCGAATATGTGTTTTGAACATGCGTGGATATATAACATCGCCCTGAATGATGCTTGAACGATTGTTTTGGGTAAGGGTTTCAGATTTTAAGGACTCGTTGTAAGGGTGTAATGTGAAGAGTACTAGAAGGCATGGAACAGTTACAGTTGTTGGAAATTATTAAATGACTGTGACAATACAAATAATGTGTAAAGGATTCCGTGTGTTTCGTGGCAGTGTTTATATCAGTTGTATAGTAAGATATCAAACAAAGGGGAATCATGGTCTCAAACACCACCGTCTTGTTCTCAGCTGTCATGCAAATTGGTGATGTGAATCCCAGATTTGCTCTGACGGTGAGCCTTTGTTTGTCGGTACCGGGCCAGTTCTCCTGTGATTTTTAGTTTTTTGTGAAGACTATTCCAGTCATATGGTGTCAGCTGAATGAAGAATAATGTGATGCAGGGTGGGAAGGAATTTGACGTTCACCACTTAGCTGAAACCCAGGAGCTTGGGTGAAGAGCTGACAAATTATAACAATAACCAGTTTCAAACCAACCATTCTATGATCCTTGTGTAACTAAGGGATGTAACTCCGAGCGACGAATTGCGGTGACCCGTGATTCCGGGTCTCATACAGTGTTAAACATAAATATAGTAAACGTCTACCAAGGAGTTTTGTACATGAAGCTTTCGTTAAACCCGCATCTATCACTCGCTCACCTGTCCATGCATTCTGGTGACATTCAATAAGAATTAAATATATGGTACTTATTTATTGTTAGTGTCAACTATCATGTCACAATGTCCTACGAACTACATGGCATTATCATTATTGTGATGTTGTACAATAGTGTCATTAATAATATGCTTCAGTACACTACATGTAGGTATTCAAATTGATTATGACACCCTTCACAATGTCCTACGAACTACATGGCATTATCATTATTGTGATGTTGTACAATAGTGTCATTAATAATATGGTTCAATACACTTTACATGTAGGTATTCAAATTGATTATGACGCCCTTCATCTTACAGCTGCTTGAGTGTCAGTGTTAGTTGACTGATAGCTATTTTGGATAAATTGTCCATTCCTTATAACTGCGTTTCAGGGCTCACTTGGCCCTTTTTCGAGCGACTGAAGGCGCAAGACGTGTTGTAAGGGTGTAATGTGAAGTGTTTATATTAGTTGTATATTAAGATATCAAACAAAGGGGAATCAAGGTCTCAAAAAAACTGTCTTGTTCTTAGCTGTCATGCAAATTGGTGATGTGAATCCCAGATTTGCTCTGACGGTGAGCCTTTGTTTGTCGGCACCGTGCCAATTCTCCTGAGATTTTTAGTTTTTTGTGAACACTATTCAAGTCATATGGTGTCAGCTGAATGAGGAATAATGTGATGCAAGGTGGGAAGGAATTTGACGTTCACCACTTAGCTGAAACCCAGGGCTCACTTGGCCCTTTTTCGAGCGACTGAAGGCGCAAGACGTCTGGGCAAGATGTAACCCCGAAACTTCGTTACTAGGAATAAAAGAACTTGTTATCCATTAACAGTTTCATGTGTTCATGTCTTTCATGTCTACGTTGACTAAGCTTCAGGTGGTGTTATAGGTGGACGTTTGGGTATGAAATTAGTTTATGTGTTCCCGAGGTATTCGTACAACGATAAACAATATGTACATGTACTTCTTCATTAATGGCTGTCATTTAGTTACCATGTGTGACCTGATAAGTTAGTTTCACGACGTTATGTCGATCTTTGTGACAATGATTTGCTCAAACACTACGGGTTTTGCATATTGTTGTATTTCTCCGTTATGCTTATTAAATAGTAATTAAAAGACTGACTATGAAATTTTGATGGTGTTTTTTTGTGTGTTAATGACAACCATTTGTTACATTTGGGCGTAAATAAATTATTAATTTTCGAATGTGTTTCCCATGGTAATATGATACTGTGTGCGATGTTTTAATCTGGTTTTTTAACTGTATTGCTAATACAAAAACTGATTTATCAATATATTTATTGATATTTAGTCTTGAATGCCCTGCTAATAATAATTAAATTTCTTGGAAATAGTTTGTTTAGTTTTGGTCTTGGCAATACTTATGGCAATATGTTTCGTAATACATTATGAATAGTAGATTTATTGTTTCATGAAAACTAGTATGAAAATACCCAAGAAAAGTGGAGTAGTTCTTCAATCAATTCATGATGAGAAAGGTTTGAAGATGAAATTATTTAATTAATCTTTTGTTCTTTCTAAGGCCACCCATCAGCAATGTCCATTGTTTTAGACAGACAGTTTGACTAAAACATACGCAGTGAAGGGTACATGTATAAAAACTTACATCCTTACTATCCTTTCTCGCTAGTGGCTTTAAGGCAAAACTTTACCTACAGGAGCACAATCCTAATAACAAATAATGCGTGTCAACAATATTGAAAAGAATGTTGGTATTGCCATTCAATCTGAAGGAAAATATGGTTTATATGAATTGTGTTTCTGCTTATGGAATATAAGTGGCGTAGTGAATAGAGCGTCTGCCGGAATGCGGAATGTCGGCGGTTCATTGCCTTGCATACTGTTGCGTGTTGATTCCCAAATTGAAACGCCAAGATTTACCTAGAAATTGGTAGGTACTGTACTAAATTATGAATGTAGTATATAACCAACCACACAAGAACAATGAATATTCAACATTTTGTATTGAAAGACACTGGATTAGGTTTACAATAAAAAAGCAAAGCAATGGGTCGAAATATGTGCTACAATATGTCAAAGTATGTGCTACAATGGGTTGACATATGTGCTGCAATATGTCAAAATACGTGCTACAATGGGTCGACATATGTGCTGCAATATGTCAAAACACGTGCTACAATGGGTCGACATATGTGCTGCAATATGTCAAAACACGTGCTACAATGGGTCGAAATATGTGCTGCAATATGTCAAAATACGTGCTACAATGGGTCGAAATATGTGCTGCAATATGTCAAAATACGTGCTACAATGGGTCGAAATATGTGCTGCAATATGTCAAAATACGTGCTACAATGGGTCGAAATATGTGCTGCAATATGTCAAAATACGTGCTACAATGGGTCGAAATATGTGGAAGCAGCAATAAAATTATAGGCCACATAACAAAAATCAGTGCACTCAGGAATGTTCAGTATTTATCACAGTTGAATATCTTGAATTAGGCATGTGCTCTTGAGGTGGAAAAGTCAGTGATATGTATCCTGTCCGTACTAGACAAATAGATACGTCGCAAGTCAAGAATGGCCTGGAATCGCTTTCGTCACGCACTTATCTTCTCGAAAATAGAATGGAATTACGTTTGTACCGGAAGTAAGGACAACTGTGAACAACCAAGGGAGGCAACTCCACGTCAAGGTCACTAACACAACTCAACAATATACGAGCGCCTCAATCAAATTGCTGCCACAATAACCATCAGTTACAATATAAACTGCAACTTAACACTATCAAACGCGACGTTTGTTTCTCGGCCCGGTGCTCGGGATTTAGGGGATAAATCAAGAATTGGTAAAACTGCGGCATGATATCTCATTTGGCTATTAAACCGGCATTATTCTTGACTAGTACAAGCAACCGCACACACAAACACACACATGCACACACAAGTGTAATAATCTTAACGAGAGGTTAAACCTCACCTCACTTCACCTCGCCTAGCCCCGTCCCACAACGCCAACCCTGGCCCACCTCGTCTCACCTAAGGTGATGAAAAATATCAATACACATTCTACAGACATTGATGTTGGACTCAATCACATGTAATTTTGTCATGTTTCACGTTTTATAAGACGAATAGAACAACTTGCCAGGCGTGGCTAGAATGGATCATGTCCTTTATACACGAGGTGATAAAGGACATTTTACCATAGTAGATGAATCTGACACGATATTATCATAATTACAGAGTGAGAACATTTAAGGTTCAATTTCACACAAGGCACTAATACTTAGCCGGGGAGGGAGAGCTGCCGGTAAAAATAATCAGTCTCTGGTGCCACTACAGTTACTTGACAATCTTAACGAGCAGACTGTTGTTGTTAAAGACTCACAAGAAGGAGGTGAGGTGATGTGAGGTGAAATTGGGTTTAATGAGTTCAAGGTTATTGCACTAAAATGGCGACGCGCATGTACATCGAGATATCATGCCACTGTTTGATACCCTCAGAAGTGATTTGAACATCTGACCGGCCAAGGGTATTGTAACCAAACGTTTCGTCCTGTCGTTGTTCCAATCGATAGAATCATCGGAAATAAATGACAATGCCAGACCAAAATCATGCCGAGGTCGTCACCGATTATCTTCACCAAGAAGGCATTCGACCATTTGACTGGCCCGCTAAGTCCCTTGACATGCCCCTAATAGAACATCTGTTGGAAGTTCTGGGCAAAGAGTGTATGCCAGAGACCCAGCACCCAGAGACCCAGAGACCCAGAGACCCAGCACCCAGAGACCCAGAGACCCAGCACCCAGATACCCTGCACCCAGCACCCAGAGACCCAGAGACCCAGAGACCCAGAGACCCAGCACGCAGAGACCCAGAGACCAAGCACCCAGAGACCCAGAGACCCAGCACCCAGAGACCCAGAGACCCAGCACCCGCCAACGACGTGAGCAAGCTAGGGATAACTCCTCAGGAGGAGGGGCGGTCGGGTGGCCTAGTGGTTAAAGCGTTCGCTCGTCACGCCAAAGACCCGGGTTCGATTCCCGACATGGCTACAATGTGTGAAGCCCATTTCTGGTGTCCCCCGCCGTGATATTGCTGGAATATTGCTAAAAGCGGCGTAAAAACCATACTCACTCACTCACTCACTCACTTCAGGCGGAAGGGTGGCAATACCAAGGGCACCCATACACAAGTTAATCAACAGTATGCATCAAGGTGTCGTGCTCGTATCGCCCAACATGGTGGACACACAAGATATTGATCAATACGCCCGAAATTAATTTTACAGACATTTATCGTCAATCACCTTCACTATCATTTCATCAGTGCCCTTAACTTTTGTCGGAAGTATATATTAATTATATTTCAATTCGTACATTTAACCTTTTAGTTGTATGTCTGGATGAAATTACATGTATAGGGCCAAGCAAACCAGGATTTCAAGATTTCTTGAACGTGTTTAAACACGTCAAAGTCTCATTCTAAATGTTTTCGAATTGGTGCCGGCGGACCCACCTCACGCACCGGAATTGTCAACTTACATGTGAGGTGAGGTGAGGTGAAATGGGGTTACGTCCAAGATTGTTGCACTTATATAGCGACGTGCATGCACGTGTATGTGTGTGTGTGTGGCTGCTTGTACTAGTCCGGACTGATGCCGATTTATAGTGCTAGCACACTGAGATACCATGCCGCAGTTTAACATGAATACCCCACTCAGACACAGTATACTGACTCCGAGCCGATCAGTCCTTGTTCTAGCCCCTAAATGCCGAGCGCCATTTAGCGCCAGGGTAACAACAAGTACCATCTTTTAACGTCTTTTGGTATGACGCGGCTGGGGATCGAACCCCGGACCTTCCGCTCTCCGGGCGGACGCTTTACCATTAGACCACGGAGGCGGTCTCAACTTATATGTACGTTGCAATTACGTCCTTGTAATTTGCTCACTTGTCTGTGTTGACATGCCCCCCGGGTGGTACACACCTACTCACATCGTCAACTTAGACTCTATCGAAGAAAACAATCCAAAAAGCATAATGTCACACAACTGCAGCAGAGTAGGGACAGGATGTACGACACTATAAATGCAATTATAAATAGAACGTGGCAAACTGGGGGGGGGGGGGGGGGGGTTCTATCCAGGAAATTTTAATGTTTGAATACAATATGCAAATACGTTTAATCATATTCAGGACAGTGTGCAAAATCGATATATTAATAGTGTATACTATTTGACTATTGGTTCTTTTACACTTGGAGGAAAGATGTTTCAAAACAACATAAGGGTTTGAACGGATTACAGTACATTACCATCATCTACCAGGGCCTGGGTGGTTTATAGAGACAGATGTCTTCTAGCTGTTTAATGTCAAACTTTTGAAATGTGCACCACAATACACGAATCAAACTTCAATTTGGATGTTAAAAGGTATGGAGGTGCACATGCATTAAACCGGATACCTCTCCACAATGTTTGTTTGATGCTGATAATATAGCCGTAGGCGAAAGCGTCACTATTTCAAAAATAGAGCAATAAACCACAAAATAAGCAGGAAAAAATAACCCGCTTGGATTTGTATGGCTTGGTATCATTAAACCTGGCTTGGTATCATTAAACCTCGAAATTGAATATCAAAGTAATCCGTAAAAATCGAGAAATTGACATCGAAAAATCGAAAATAGAAGTTCCATAAAGGCGTGCGACAACCTCATCAGTGACATCCATCTGCGCTACATTTCAAGGGACGGTGGTAATTCATATTAACATCGATAATTAAGACCCAATATCCCCCTACTATTTTAGCGAGGCTACAAACGTCGTCTGAATCACTTACAAACCATTACTGAGGAAGAAATTCGTGCACATCCCTAAAAAATGGCTGAAGGTGTCCGGTATACCGTATTCTTGGGCAACTCCCCCCCAAGGATAATGCCCCTAGACAATAAAGGGGCACTTTTCCGGGAGATTTGTCTGGGGGCATCTGGACTGCTGATATTTCATCCTTTCTATGTCAACTGTTTTTGCGTCGATTTAAGCTGGCTATTAAGTTTACCACTTTTTTCGAAAAAAGACCTTAAATCGTTACCACAAAAATGCTTCTGATAATAATAAAAATAATTCTCCAAAT